GGCAGAGGCCCTTTGCAAACCCAGATCTCCGGACGCCCAGGCTCTCTCCCTCCGCCTCACCCAATCTGAGCTCTCTGGGACATCTCTATCTTAACAGGGAACTCCTGGGAACAAAACGCCTGCACAGAGAAGAATGAATTTATAATGGTGGCGCCTCAGACACCGTGACAGGCTGTCAAGGGAGATATTTTTAGGCTGGGCTGAGAAACATCTTAGCCCTCCTGCAGGCGGCCGGGCCGGGCTGCCTCCGCAGGCCTCCCTCCGTGTGCCTCCGTGTGCGAGGTGCAGATGAGGGGCACGCCAGGCAGGTGCCACGTCTCCCCGACACTCCATGCCCAGGAAGAGCAGGAACGGTCGCCCCTGTCGGAGGGTGGGAGTGGGGGGGGGGGGGGGACTGTGTCCTTCCCTAAATAATTGCTCCTCGAAAGGATTGGCTCATTTTTCCTGTTGGGAGTTGATTTCCAGCCTGCCCACCATGATCTCAGTCACAATGAATGCTCCTTGGTCCATCATTTTACAGAGCAAACGGAGAGCTGCGTTGGAGGAGAGTTCCTGGGTGAGGGGGCTTTCAGGCATGTATTTGAACTTCTTTCCTTCCTTCCTTCCTTCCTTCCTTCCTTCCTTCCTTCCTTCCTTCCTTCCTTCCTTCCTTCCTTCCTTCTCTTCCTTTCTTTTCTCTGTGTCTCAGCTTGACATTTCCCCCCTCCAGCCTTCTCTCGCCTGCTTGTGCTGTCTCTCGGTGGCTCTGTCCCCCGGGGACCCACCAGCATCCTGACATCTTCCAGGCAGAGTGAGACATCTGCTCGCTCTCGGTTCCAAGCACCCTCCCCGCTCCGGGACCCCAGACACCTTCCGCCCAGCTAATGCGGTTTGACATCAGACTAACCACACAGTTGTCACGGCCCAGGCCCAGTTCTTTTCTCAGATCCAAACCGCAAGGTTTTTTTGTTGTTGTTTGTTAGCTCTGCTGGGCTCTATTTGTAGCCAGCGTCTAAATCCAAACCCTGTGGCTCTTTTTTTTTTTTTTTTCCCTTCCTTTTTTCCAAAGACTCTCCTCCGCTGCAGATGGTCCCTGGCTGGCGGGGACCGGTTTTCCTGGATGACATGGGAGAGGGGAGGAGTGGCAACCTAGAGAAAAGGGCTCATTTGGAGTAAACACCACCTCTTTGCTCTGTGAAGAGTGTGGTGGAAAGACTGTTGGCTGGTTTATTTTGGTGGGTGGAATTGTTTCTCTGTCCAGATTTTTTTTTTTTCTTCGTTCTTACTTTTTTTTTTTTTTTTTTAAACATTCCCTTTTAATCTGGGAAGTGGCTGGCAGGTCCTAGCAGATGTAAGGGTGTCTGGGAAGCCTCCCTAGGACCGGAGACTGCAAGGACTGGGCCCCCCCCCCTTTCCCCAGTGCCCCTCGAAACGGACTCCTCTGAACCCCACCCTCCAGTCACTCATCTTAGCCTCCGACGGTTGGTACTGGTTTCGCCGTTACCATAGCGGCATCAGTATTTCTCTCAGAATAAATAAGTGGTGACAAAACTTGAAGGACATTTTTCTGCAAGTGGTAGTTTCAACCAGCCGGCAGGACCACCAGCAACTCTTAACGCAACATGTCCCGAGCCGAAGTCAAGTCCCTCACCATTCCTCCTCCTGCCTCAGCCCCAGATCCGCTCCTGCCGCCTTCCTTCCTGCAGGCACCTTCCTTCCTGCAGGCACAGCTGCCAGTACAAGGGCTTGAAAACACGCAGACCTCTCCCCCGCTGCCTCCCACACAGCCGCTCCTCACGACCATAGATTCTTCTGAGAGTTCTTTCTCCCCTCTCCTCCTCTGCTCTCCCCGGAGCCTGTGCCATCTGTGGGCAGGTGACAGCTGACCCTCCTGCCCGGCTCCCTGCCCCAGTGGTCTTCATAGACCAGTGGTCGGCAAACTCATTCGTCCACAGAGCCAAATATCAACAGGACAACGACTGAAATTTCTTTGTTGAGAGCCACGTTTTTTTAAACTTCAACTTCTTCTAACGCCGCTTCTTCAACATAGACTCGCCCAGGCCGTGGTATTTTGTGGAAGAACCACATCCAAGGGGCCAAAGAGCCGCATGTGGCTCTCCAGCCGCAGTTAACACAGTCATAGACCAACCCAGGGTCCAAGGCCTGGAGCTCCCTGCCTCTTCAGTACATGTTGGGTGAAGTGCAAACAAACGCATGGCCCCCCAGGCAATGTCCTTGCTTGTGTCTTCCCGTGAGAATATGTGTTTTGAAACAGCGCTGGGGGCAGGCAGAGGGAAGTCAAATCCTGACTGCACTCCCCTACCCTGAGTGTGTTAGAGAGACATTAAACAACTGAGAAATCTACTCGGAGGGGCGTGGGCCCCGAGGTGATGGAGAAGGGGAGCCCAGCCTCTCTGAAAGTCAGGGTTCAAGCACATCCTGGAAGCCAAGCTCACCAACACACAGTAAGCCCTGACCATGGTTACTTCATAAATACGGTTTCATCTTAGCGCAAGGGACACCCTCTGAGAATTTCCAACACCGTGTAGCGTGTTTTCCCCAGTCCTTCGCTATGTCTTTTTGCTGACCGGCAATAGTTAAGATGTCTAGCGTTAAAAAAAAAAAAAAAAAAAAAAAAAAAAAAAAAAAAAAAAGCTTATTTTAAGAATCGTTCCTTGGAACATTATTTCATTACTTAAACTTTCTGCTGACTCATCTGTTCCTTGGTAACTGAGTCTTTCTTTACCAATAACTTTAATTACATCAATCACTCATTCCCGAATCTGCTGAATCATGAAAACTCCTAGTGATGATGCCATGGACTTCTGTCACACAAGTATGGGCTTGTGGAGGGAGAGCAGGTCTTCCTTCCTTCCTTCCTTCCTTCTTTTCCTCCCTCCCTCCCTCCCTTTCTCTCTCCTTTCATTCCTTCTTTCCTTCTTTCCTTTCTTTCAAATAGCCATCAGTACTTCAAACAGGCAAACTATGTTTAGCTTTTGTGATTTGCTATCTGTCCATCTATCTTTCTATCAATTTATAATTAGCAATCTCCATAGCAGGAAGAATGACAACTCATAATTTCTTGAACTGCACGGAATGAAATTTGTTCCATCTGATATTTCTGAATCATGAGGCTCACGTCTCCACGTTGGGGATAAAATAAATGATGTTTGAGAATTCCCACACCTTTGCTAACGGCTGCTAATGGCATAGTTCAAGGGTTAACATATTACCTAAATAATTATTTTGTTGTCAATAATAATAGCTACCCTATCGAGCTCTTAGTATATGCCAGCTATTGGACGAAAGGCTTCACATACATGATCTCGGAAGAGCTTCATCCAACCTATGGAGTAGGTGCTACTATTATCCCCATTTGACAGATGAGAAAACTAAGGCACAGAACGGTTTACTTGTGGAAGGAGATGTCAGAGTGGGATATAAACCTAGGAATGTCTGACTCTCCTTTTCTGGGCCTCGATGGAGCTGGGGGGTAGGGGTGGGGGAAGAATTACTGGCTGTTCTTCCCTGCTTTAGGCGTTCCCTGTTTTTCTGGCTATTCATGGCTCCAGTCTACCGCGAGTTGATTAAGGTACTGCCTATTCTCAGAGCTTGAAATGTCACCTGATGCCGCAGGGAAGTAGTGGTCCTCGTTTGGTGAGAGGAGGCAGATGCAGGTGGGGTGTGGAGGTGCCTCTCACACAACCCTGCCCCAAAGTGCATGCTCTTCCACCCTCCCTGCCAGGTCCTAGTCGTCTGTCTCCCTCTGAGACTGAGACACCAGCCTCTAACCGGCCGCCCCGTCCCAGGCTCTCCCTGCACCTTTCCATCCTACACTCTCGCCTCACCAGCCAGGAGACAGAGGCCAGGGAGCCAGGAGGCTGTAGAGGAGGAGGAGGACTAAACCGGAGCTGAACTTCCAAATGATTCAAGTCCCAGCTCTTCTGAGTCACCTGAAGCTCTTCATCTGCCTGACCCCATTCTCTGATGTGACCCCGCCTCCCAAAACCCTTCATGGGGTCATACTGGCTCAACGGTCACTCCCCTCTACCCTCCCCCCTCCCAAATAAAGCCTTTTTTCCAGGCTGGTAATTCTGCCTCAGAGCAGTCCATCCCAATCACATTGTCTCAGTCCACTCACAGTTCTGAGATGGATGGACCCATCTCTTTGGAGAGCCATCCTGTAGTAGACGTGTGATTTTATCTGTGCGTTATTTGTGGTCCCTTATTCTGGTCCAGCATCCTTCATTTCTCTCAGGAGCCATCCCTCCTCTCTCCTGGACCCATATGGTTTGGATGAAGTTAATTCAATTCTGATTCTCGGGCAAGACATATTATTTAGGCCTGACCAAGAGTCTCTGCTGCTGGATGCAGTGATTGGTTCAGGAATGTGCATGTGACCCCGTTTGGCTCCGTACGATGGAGATCAAAGGTGTTATTAACATTGGGAAGAGGTAGAGGCCTTCTCTTCCCATTGAACTTGAACCTTGGGACTATGAAACTCGAGAGCAAAGCCCACACGGAAGGGAACAGAGCTGAGCGATGGCAAGGGACCAGACCTTAGAGACGTGGAGCCTTGGATTGAGCTTTTGCCTGAAGACAGAGCTACCACTGGATTTGTGTGTGAGTGTGTGTGTGTGTGTGTGTGTGTGTGTGTGTGTGTGTGTGTTTTGGTTTTGTTTTGTTTTTTTGGTGAGGCAATAAATTCCCTTTGGTTTAAGTAGTTTGAGTTTTACCTTCTAGTTCTGTAATCCCAATTAGTACAGATCCTTCCCAGGCCCAGAATCCTGGAATCTCTGAGAGGTAGATATGCAGGCTGTTCCCAAACCTCCCGTTGTCCCCCTCCTGGGCATGGGGTGGGATTGTACGTCCCATGCACTGTGAGAAAGGCGTGTGGCATGTGACTTCCTTTGCCAATGAAATGCGAGTAGAATTGATTTGGGTCAATTCTGGGTGGGCTCTTTGAAAGTCAGTGCGCGATTCACCACTCTTTCTCTTTCCCTCCCATCATGATGTTCCAGATGGTGGAGGTTCCATCAGCCTGGGTCCCAGACTGAGGACAACGTGGAGCCGAGAGCCCTGCTGACCCTCGATGGAGATGTACCGTGAGCAAGAAATAAACTCCGTTGTTTTAAGCCATTGAGATTCTGGGTCCTTTGTTACAACCCCAATTCCTTAGTCCAGTGGTCGGCAAACTCATTAGTCAACAGAGCCAAATATCAACAGTATGACGATTGAAATTCCTTTTGAGAGCCACATTTTTTAAACTTAAACTATATAGGTATTCACATTGTTATTAACTTAACTAGGGTCCTCCTAAGCTGGCCTTTCCTAAAAACTCAAGGGGCCAAAGAGCCGCATGTGATTTGCAAGCCGCGGTTTGCTGACCATTGCCTTAGTCTATCCTGAATAATATACTCAGAATTCTTCTCGTCTTCCCACTTCTCCTCCTCCTCCTTCTCTTCCCCTTCCTCTTCCTCCTCCTCCTCCTCTTCCTCTTCTTCCTTCTTATCCTTTTTTCTCTCTCTTCCCCTCTCCCAATGCTGCCTTGCTTTGCCCAGCAGTCAAATATAATATATATATATATATATGTATATATATATATATATGACTTCATCCTATAGATGTTAAAAGGCATTCATGATTGTTCTTCTCCTGCCTTCCCAATGCTTTCCAATGATATCCAAATGAGCATTGGCAGAGATAACTACCCTCCCCCTACAAAACCATGCCCCTGGCATCACCACCCGTGCCAATCATCCTTCCCAGCACTGGCATGAGCAGGCCAACTTCCTAATCATATTACTGGGCTCACAGGGCCCTGAGTTCTGGAAGAAAACCTCCGGTAATCCCCACTCATTAGCTTAGGACAATTAACAAGATCCTGAAGGTTGTGCTACAACATAGAGCTCTGCCAAGATTAAAAAAAAAAAAAAAAAAAAATCGATGACTAAAAAAAAGCTACATTGGCCTTCATTGTTAATAAGCAATTTCTAGATCGGTTAATTAGGCCCGTGCTCAGGATCCTGCAGCTGGGGCGGAGGCTTGGCAAGGATGAAGTTCTTTGGAAGACAGAAGAGTAGAAGCAAAAACATTCCCGAGGCCTGAACGCAATCATCATCACCGTTACCCTATGGGACGCTGGTGCAGCTCAGGTGACTCACTTTCCTGCCGCCAAGGGCCGGGCAGCCCACGCCCACAGGCACACCGCAGGCCTTATGGGAGCGGTGGGGACGGCAGGGCACTTCACAGTGACACCTTACCTACATTTAGCTCTCCCCGATCGATCGTCACCACACAGGAATGCAGGCCCAGTGTTGCTAGTTCTTTCCAAATCCATAGAAATCGCCACCGACACCACATTTCCCCTAAAATACTCCTGTGCCACCCAAGCTTAGTGAGCAACCAACCGCAGGCAGAAGGTTTGATAGTAAGTAACAGGGTCACCCTTATTACCTCTTTGCCTTGGGAATGACCTCCACTTTACAGATTAGGAAACGGAGGCTAGAGGAAAGTGAAGTGACTCACCCACCAGGACATGGCCAGACTCGGAAACGCAAATCCATACCCACTGACCCAACTCTACTGCTTTCTCTCTTCTGCCCCCGCTGTCTCCTCACAGCTCAAGTGTGCCACTGAGAGGCTAACTGCCCACCCCAGATTCCTGCTTCCACTTCTGAAGGATACTACCGTGTTTCCCCGAAAATAAGACATCCTCCGAAAATAAGACCTACTTACAGGTCTCCTTCTGAGTGAAATATAAGGCATCCCCCAAAAATAAGGCCCCCCCCCCAAGGCTAAACATGAGAGATTTGGTCCACTGATTCTGAAAGAAATGGAGTCACAAGAAATTCACCAGGAAATTCAGGAATTGGATTGTTAGGATGATGTTGCAGAAGATGATGACATCATTGTCATTGACTCTTGATTCTGTAGGATTCACAGTTTGTCTGGTTTGTGTTGACAACTACAATACTACCGTACCGTATACAGGTAATAAATTTCCTTTATTTTCATTTAACAATAAATGTGTACCGTATTCTTCTTCATGGAAAAATAAGACATCCCCTGAAAATAAGACCTAGCGCATCTTTGGGAGCAAAAATTAATATAAGACACTGTCTTCTTTTCGGGGAAACAGGGTAGTTGGGTTATCCATGGGAAGCCACTGCCAGGACTACATTTCCCAGCCTCCCTCTGGGGGAGGTCATGTGACTAGTTCTTGCCAATGGAATGTGATGGCTGTTATCTCCAGGCATCAGCAATTAAGACATTGAGTGTGCTTTCCCTACTCTCCCTTCTCCCACCATTGGTTATGGATGAACCCAGCAGGCTTGGCAACCCTTATCAGAGATAACAGGAGCACAAGGCAATAAATCTGGGTTTCTGAATCACCCTTTTGAGGAAATCTACCTCCAATCGGGAGCATTCCTTGGGACTTGACATCAGGGAAGCATAAGTTTCTCTTGCATTGGACCCATCATACATTTTTGGTTTTACTTGTTACAGCAACTAGCATTCCCTTGATCATAAAAAAATATGAATGGATTTTTAAAAATACACACCCCCTCCTCCTTTCTATTTCAGTGGGGAGGATTTTGTAATGGGCCGGTCCTCTACCTGAATCGAACAGAACTCTGATGGGAGAATGACTCGTGTTAAGTTTGGTTTCTGGGGATGGAGGTGGAGTGGCCCTGAGTGTCACTGCATCTTGCCGCTCCTCCTCTCCCCGCTCCCGTCTCCCCCTTCCCCTTCCACTGGCTTTGAAGAAGGACTTGTTCATATTTCAGCTGGAGATGAACATATCATCATATGAGCCCTCCTGGAGGAAGACAAAAGACAAAACAAGCATTTGGCCTGTCTGGGCCACACACCCTCACCCAGATAGGAGTCAGCATGTTTGAGAACATCAAAGACAGTGTGATATCTTAAGCACAAGGAGATTAACATGTACAAAGGTTTGCCCCTCGGCCTGTTCCCAGGAATCCAGCAGACACAGCCAGAAGGGGCAATTCACATCACCCACCTACGGAGGGGTCCTCTGGCAGCTCACGTGCGAGCTTTCTGCCAGATGGGGGTGAAGGAGCAAAGCCTGGTCTCATATTTGAACGAGAACCCTCCATACACGGTGTGTGTGTGTGTGTGTGTGTGTGTGTGTGTATGTGTTAAAATGCCCTGGGAAATGAGAGCATGGGTAGGTACCACGTTCTGGGGGGAGAATTCTGCCCCCACACATGCCAAGCCACAAGCTGAGAGAGAGAGAGAGAGAGAGAGAGAGAGAGAGAGAGAGAGTCTTTACCCACCTTATAGTCAGAAGCAGTCAGCGCCCTCCTAAGCCAGCCAGTCTGTACAAAAGCAGGGCAGAGAGGGCCTCGGAGAAAGGAGGAGGGGGCGAGGAGGCACTGGGTTGCCTCTTTGAAGCCAGAGGCCAAGAATATCTCAACACACTCGCAAGTACCAGCAACAGTAGGCAATGGACGGGGACCAAAATCCCTTACAGCTGTTGGAAACCATACCCTATTCAGAGATAATTGGCAATTAGTTAAACAACTCCTGTTTAAAACACTCCTCCTCTCCACCCTCCGAGACAGCTGTGTTTTAAAAAGGGGTGGGGAGAGACTTCTGAAGAAATGTGGAAACCTAATCTTCAAGTCAATAAAACAAAACAGGGGTGAGCGAGTGAGAGGGTTTAAAAAATATGGAGCATCTCTCGAAAACCCGCTGCTTCCTATTCTGCTTGCAGCCTGACAGGGTAGTCAGTTTAGGGGTGGGAGGGGTCAGAAAGGCTGAGGTCTGAGTACCTGCTCTGCCATTTGCCAGCTCTGCGGGTTTGGCAAGTTGCTGAAATTTGCTGAGAGCCAGTTTTCCCACCTGTGAAATGGGGATGACAGTGGTTGTGCTGGGAAGATGAAGTGAGAGGGTGCATGGGGCCTGGTACACAGTGTGTACTCAGAGCTCTAAAGCATGCATGCTTCTCCAAATCCAAACTCCTTTGCCTGGCATTCAGGGCCCTCCACCATCTGTCGCCGACCTGCTCTCCCACACTCCCCCCCATTTTTATGTCTCTGTGAACTAGCAAGGGAAAGAAATAGGTCCCGTTAGGCCTTCGTTTCCCAATCTGTGAAATGGGATTGACGAACCAAATTCTCTCTAAGGTCCCTATCAACCCCTCCCTCCCATCTCAGATGTCAGTCACGCCCAGTCCTTCAGATCAGACTCCATGGCCGCCCTGAAGCCTTTGCTGGGAAGGAAGTGATTCTACCTATAAAGCTCAAAACGCTTGAAATATATATTTATTGATTGTTTACAGAGAGGAAGGGAGAGGGACATAGAGTTAGAAACATCTATCAGCTGCCTCCTGCACACCGCCCACTGGGGATGTGACCGCAACCAAGGTACATGCCCTTGACCCGAATTGAACCTGGGACCCTTGAGTCTGCAGGCTGACGCTCTATCCACTGAGCAAAACCGGTGGATATATTTTTAAACATCAGAAACTATTGCAAAACAAACAAACAAACAAATTGGGGGATTTCCAGCTTCTCTAAAATAAGTCAGAAGACCTGGCAAATCTGGCCCCACATTCCTGGACAAAAGCTATCTTATGATGATGGGTCAGTGCTGCCCCCTGCAGGTGGGGCAGACATTTACAGGTTTCTCCACCTCAGCTGTTTCCCTGACTCCCTTTGCCTGCCTGAGCTCTGGGATCATCATCTTCCCCACTCTGTCCCTCCTCCTCCTCAAACTCCTCTTTCTATTACTTTTCTCTTGTAGGAACCACTAACTGCTTTTTAAAATATATTTTTTATTGATTTCATAGAGGGAGGGAGGGAGAGAGAGAGAGAGAGAGAGAGAGAGAGAGAGAGAGAGAGAGAGAGAAACATCAATGATGAAAAGGAATCACTGATTGTTTGCCCTCCTGCATGCCCCCTACTGGGGATCGAGCCCACAACCTGGGCATATGCCCCGACCGGGAATCAAGCCCAGGACCGTTCAGTCCACAGGCCGATGCTCTCTCCACTGAGCCACACCAGTTGGGGCCATGTATTGCTTTCTGCCATCGGCTACTGCCACCCTCTCGACCAT